ACCCGTATATGGATATATACACACAGCCATATATACACACACGTATACACACCCCCATATATACATATATGAACACATATATGCGCACAATATGTATAAACACACATTTATATGTGGATTTTATACATATCAAGGGCAAATGAGCCCTCAGTGCCAAAAGGCATCCCCACTGCTTGGGGCGAGGGGTGCCCTGTCTGCCCTGGGTGGGGTGTTACCACCCCGCTCCAGGCCCTTCCAGCAGATTTCCAGCTGATCGAGGCAACGGGAAGGAGCAGGGAGAGGGGACCTCCCCGTGCGCGCTGGCACAGCCAGGCCCTGTCTTACGAGATTGCAGAAGTGCCTGTCTGAGCGTGGAGGAGAAAAGCTGAATTAGGATATTTATTTATTACTACGCAGATTTCGGGCAAACCACTTGAGTAAGAAGTCAAGTTTTTCCAGATCGGGTAATAGATTCACCATAGCCTGAACCCTTCTGCTGCCCCCGCACCCAGCAATAACCAGCACCCACAGCAACGCCTTCCCTGCGGCAACGCAGCCAGAAATTCAGGACCTCGCCGTGGCCTCGCACGCACGCTGCCTACCTCAGCAGCGAACCCGGGAGCGGAGGAGCTGCCACCCGAAGCTCAGCAGTGCCCCGTATCACACCGTCCTCCCCGACCTGTCCAGCTGTTTCCCAAGAGGACATAAACCTCCCACAGCTGCAATTAGCTGATTGCCAAGGAGAGAAAATTCCCCCCCAGGTCACGGCTACGCCCGCAAGCCTGCGATGGGTAGCTTTGGAGGAGCACAGCCAGCACGTCCTTGCCGTTCCCCGGTCTCTTCCTGAGCGACTGGCACCGGCCCTGTTGAATCTCCGTCCCATGACTGTTCCCCGGTGACTAAGTGCAAGAGCAGAGCTGCTTCTGTCATTTCCCGGGGACCACGGCAAAGATGCACGCTGGGCGCATGGCGGGTCTCACGCCGAGGCTGAGGCAGGGTTCAAAGCGAGCTGTTCCCCCTCTCATCCTCCTCGTTAGGGGAAGGAGACAGCGAGAAAGCCCCCTTGGTTGAAATACAACCAAAGAGGTTTCTGTTTGGCTCTTCCCCTGCTCCACACTCCCCCGCAAGAGCTTTGCTTCTCCTACAGAACCTCCGATAAAATAGTAGCACATAGTTTTAGTTGAAATTTGTGCGTAGCAGCTCTTTATTCACAGCTTCAAGAGACATAAGCTAAATTTTCTGCTTGTAAGAACCAGCCACATCAGCACGGGTCTCCAGCAGACAGGAAAACCATCCTCCTCCTCACCCCAGCCAGGCTGCAATCCCTGGGGCCAAACCTCCCCTCCCAAGCTTGGAAAGCCCAGAAATGCAAATAAATATACAACTTTAAAATACATTTATTTTTACTGAAAACTGTTTAATGGTACAGCTCATGTTGCTTTGGCACATTCCCCTCCTCGGGCAGGACCTGCTGGGAGCACGGCCTTTCCCACAGCCACGTGCACGGGGCTGCAGCGGCTGGGTGGCCGCGGTGGAGGAGCTGCGACCTGCCCCGTAAATCACAGCCCTGGGAGCACCGAGAGCTCAGTTTCACAGGAAGCACGGCTCTGGCAGATGTGAAAAACAAAAATCTGTGCTGAGACCTGGCACTGCCTCTTGGGAAACCAAAATATGTGTTCACATACCCCTTTTAGCTGCCCCTTCCCTACAGCAGCTATTTGCTCAGCAATACAGGGCTGTAGGCTGTTATGTCTACTCTGGAGAAATTAGCACCCAAATTCTGGCTAAATCAGACTCCTCTTCACCCAGCACAGCCTTAAAAGGCTCCAGGAGCTGTACTGCTGTGTTATTAGTTTAACGAGCATGCCCTAATGAGTTCCAGCCCCCACAATCTACATCAGCAGCCTTGGAAGTGCAAGCCACAGCTCAGCTCACCTGCCAAGGAGGTTTCTTATTAAGCAGAGGATGAGGGTATCTAAGACATCCGGGATCAAGAGGAGAAGCTTCATCCCAGCCTCCCGTCTCCTCCCCGGCACTGCATGAGGTTCCCCAGAGCAGGCAAGAGCAGCTGGAAAGCACTGGAGCAAGGAGAGATTATTTTAAACTTCACATGCAATTGAGTAGGTCCTTGAGCATCAGACAGGGCCAGCTGGTGTCAGTCAGGACTCATCCCCCCCAGCTGATCCAGATCATAACCTTCATCAATTAACAGCAATTCTTTATGCAGCACAGTAGTGCCCCAAAAATACCAGCAGCTCCCTATAGGGTCTGGTGTTACTCTGGGGAGAAAGTCAGATCAAGCATCTAATTATGTCCCTGCTCATCAACAGCCTGTCCCACCCCAGTCCTGCTAGGGGCTAAACCTCAAAATTTTAATTAAGTTAACAGCAGTCGCCACTAATTGAATTCCAGCTCTCAACAACTACAGCAGTGTGCAACATCTTTTTTTTATTTCTGAACTAACTGTGGGCTGCCCAGGGACGATCAGAGCTCCGGGACCAGAGGGCAGTGAACAAAAGCACCACGAGGAGTCATGGGTTTGGGCAGGGACATGCCAGCTGGTCCCAAGCCAACACCTCAGGACAGGGCTGGCTCTGCTGGTTGAAGACAAGCCTGCAGCAGAGGAGAGGACCTGGCTGTCATGCTGCCCACACAGCCCAACCACTGCAGGCAGCATCTGCTGAGGCAAGGAGATCTCCGGGGAACCCCACGCTCATTTTCTCCCCAGCACAGAAGAACAAGAGCTTCTTCAGGTTGGTCCTGCTCAGGGCTGCAGGACTCAGAGGCAGTCTTTTGAACCTTCAGTGTGCTTGCCTGCTTTTTTTGCAGCTCTCTTGGACCTTGACATTTGCTTTTCTGCCTGCATCAGAGCCCCTGTGTGGGTGCTGCTGGGCTCGGCTCCTGCACATCACCATTTCCAGTATCCAGCTCCACCTGTATCCCCGTCGGCTGCAAGAAGAAACAGAGAGGAGCTCAACCTCACACTGCTGGGACTCTAAGGGCAAACCTGTACATCACTCCACCTGCCCCAGAGCCAAAAATCCCCTATTACATCCCCTTGAGGATTTCTTTCTGCCGGTGCCCTCATTTTAATTGGGTCTGCTGAACACAGAGATACAAATAGAGAACGCAATTCAGTAAAGAACATCTTGCTCCGAGATATCCCCAGACACACTATTATTTAGCACATCCAGGATGCGTTTCGCTGCCCAAGCACGCTACCACATCCAAACCCATTTGGATCAGGCCGCAGACTGGGCTCAGAGCCAGGAGGCTCAGGCAGCGCTGCCCCGTACGTAGGCAGGGTTCAAGCCAAAGTCACCTCTGCAGGTGACATGGGTCACCCAGTGAGGTCTGATCCTCCCCTACCCCCAGAAGGAGCCTCCCTCTGCTCCAAAGCCAGGTCCACGTCACCTAGCTTCTCCTCCATTACCAGGGACTGGTCCAGGGAGCCTCACCTGCCGGAGTGACTTTGCCAAGGAAGCGACGCGCTGCATGGTGGCTTTCTCCCAGGCGGCTTCTTTTCTCTCCAGCAGCACCCGGGTGCTGGGCACAAAACTCCAGGAGCGACCAAGGGCCGGCTTCAGTGGACCGGTGCTGCTGTCCCTTGTCACCTGGTTAGTCACCTGCAGCAGAAACAGGCTTATCAGTGCCTGGGAAAAACAGTGCCACTTGGTGTTAGGAAACACCCACCAGAGATCTCCAGGAGATAATGGCCAGTCTGCTACTTTTATGAAGTTTTTTCTTCTCCATCTTCCTGGCACACCCATGCCATCCCCTCTAAATGTAGCCCACGCAACTGTCCCAGACACGTACTCAGGTAGGAGCTCGCTCGTATCTGCAAGCTGCAGTGACTTCTGGTGCTGAAGCCACCTGCAAAGCTTAACTTGGAGCCTCCAAGCGTCCTTCCAGGCATCGCGTCCTTGTCACTTTATGGCTAATCAGAGCGAAGGGCAGGGCTGTCTTGACACCTGCCAGTGCCAGGGTCAGCAGACCACCATTTTCTGTTGTGGCCTTCCCAATTCAAACACATTAATTGTGGTCCCAGCAACCTGTCCGGGTGCGTTGAGGCAAATGCAATTGCTTGGCCAGGAGCTGGGGAAGCCTAGAGCAGGGCCCCCTCCAGTCCCCAGCTCCTTCTGGATGATGCAATGCCCTGCAGTTCCTCCAAGGTAACCAAGCAAGGGGTTACTTAGTAAGCTGGCCAGCCCCTTAAATGAATGGTGTTATATCAAAAATAAATACAAACAACCTTTCAATCTGTCTGTACTTAATTCTACCTTGCTCAATCGAGTGAATGCCTTGTTGGCTGAGGACAGCAATAAAAGCAGGCAGCAAATCAGCCCTGTTCTTGCTCCACACTTGCTGGAACAAGACATCTGCGGGCTGCAGAGCAGCAGAGCTACGTCGGGGAGCAGAGCACCAAGGGATACAGGCCTCGTGCTCCCGATTAGCTGGGAGCGGGGTCCCCCCTCCCAGGGGCTCCAAAGCCTCTCCAGGGCTCCTCGCCACGGCACGCAAAGGACAAGGCGCAGCAACACTCACCACAACGGCAAGACTGAACTCCCTGGCCAGTGTCTTCAGCTCCCTGGCTAGCTGCATCATGATGGCCAAACCTGGAGGAGGACAAAGCATTTGGATGTTTGGGGATCAACCCCCAAAGTGCACCTTGGAGGCAGGTGACATCTAGATTTGCATCAGCTCTGGATTTAGTGCCAGTGCTGGTGTTCCTGGACTCCTTCAACCAATTTCCATTACCAGCACCCCAACGTACCCAGTGCACCTGCACACTCCAGGGCATCTCGCCCGAATGGATGTGGCATGGACAGACCAATCCCCAAGTTGTCCCATGCCCTCCTTTCCTATCTTGGAAGCCCTGAGGCCAAAAAACCCTACAAAAGCACCAGGAGCTCCAGACAAAGCTGGCCAGGTTAATTTAACAGGTACAGGACCCCTCTCTCCAGCTCACAGCTTCATTTCCTACAGCCCGTGACTGTGAGGGGACCTCCTGTGACAGCACTGGGTGCCACCCAGGTGTGCAAGACCCTCTGGAAGGTGTTTGAGGGGCTTCCTTGGCATCTCAGCCAGCAGAAAGCCCCTCACTCCTGATTTATGGTCCTTTCTGGCAGAAAGAGCCTCAGGGGAGCTTTGCAAACTGTGCCAGCAACCACAACGTATCTGTGACACTGTAAGCAGAGGTTTTAATCTGAGGGCAAACAGTTCAGTGCCTCCTCTGTCCCCTGGCCGGGTTTCAGACCACCGGCATGAGCTTACACGGCCACAGCCAGCTTGAATGTTTGCCGATAACACTGCAAACAGACCCCCCTTTTATCCAGTCGCAAAGCAGAAGCTGGGAGCAGTCACACCCACATCCATCCTGCCCCAGCTCCAGGCACAGCACACATGGGAGGAAGATGCTCTTCAGGACTAGCAGAGAGGTCTGCAACCTCATCGCACATCCTAACAACGCAGCTCACCCTCCGACTGCTTGCCGCCCAGCAGCGGGTAAATCACAGCCGAGACAGAGTCGATCACCACGATCTTGAGAGGTCCCACGGAGCTCACGACCTGAAAGAAAGAGGCAACGTGTGCAATGTGGAGAAACAAACCCAGCAGTTTTGGAGGTCATGAGCTGCACAGAGGCTCAAATATCCCCAGGACGGGGTGATCTGGTGTCACCCGTCAGGCACGCAAGTCCTGCTGCCCTCCTTGCAGCTCTGGGGAAGGGAGAGGGGCCCAGACCCTCGCTCCTACCTGCTGGGAGAGGCGATCCCGCAGCTCCTGCAAGGCGCTCAGCATTTCATAGACGTCGAACACACGGACCACCTGGATCCGCTGCAGAGCCTCCAGCTGCAGCACAAAGTGGCATCACCAACAGCCTCACCCCCTCCAGCACTCATGAGATTCCTCCTGCCCCAGCTGCTACCAGCTCTTCGCATTTATACCATGCCATGGAGCCAGAGACCCTTATTTCTTCCACGTTTGCCTCCACCCCATGAACACTGTTGTCCCCATTGCACTGATGGAAGCAGCAACGCGGATTGAGCTCAGGAAGCGAAAGCGTGAGCAACTACAGCAAACCCTCCCCTTCTCCCCAAGAAAAAAAACCAAAGTGCAGTGTCTGTCCCTAAGCACAGCACCCACCGGTCATGAGGGGAAGAGTTTGGACCCAAAAAAGCCCATGGGGACAAAGGCAGAGCTGGACAGACAAACCGTCTCTGGGGCTTGTCTGCAGGCAAAAGCCAAGGCAGTTTTAGCACGAGGGACCAGCTCCAGGGGAACTTGCCTGCTCTTCCTCGTCCTCTGTCCGGGCTCGAAGCATCTGGTAGACACGGGAGGCGGTGAACCCCCCCGTGGAGTCGAGAAACACGACGTGCTGCTTGAGGCCGAGAGACACGCTGGCCGCAATGCCCAGGCACACCTGGAGAGGCAGTGACCAGGCGTCAGCCAGCCCTTCCAGGTCCCTCTGCTTCACGTGCCTGAAGCCGTCATCTTCACCCTACCTGTCCTCTCCCCTCTCCTCCGTCCCACTCACCTGTGTCTTCCCACTGCCCGGTGCTCCCATGAGCTCCGTCACTTCCCCCGTGTACAGCCCGGAGTCCAGCAGCTGGTCCAGGCTATGGGTTGAACACAAGGTGGGATTATCAACACCTCTTCAGCCAGAATGGCAGGGGCATCAGGAAGCAGCGGTCCCCAGATATTTGTCCCTAGAGTCCCCTTCCCAAATGCAGACAAGTGCCTCAGGCTCTGCTCCTTCCCTCTCCACATTGTGGGCAACAGCAGGTCTGCAGCACGGGGGGCTACAAGAGGACAGTCCTGAGCTGGAGAAGAGCTGTGGGCCTGGGAGCAAGGTTTGAATACCCAGGGTTTCTCTGCATAGTCACTGTAACAACCCAGCGAGGAGACAGGGGAAAAGAAGAAATAAGGACATGCAACAGAGTAACTCGTTTCCATGCCTGATCTAGACAGTTTGGACCATCACCACACAACAGTCCTCCCAGATCCATAACCCTCTCCTCTAGAGCCCTCAAGGGAAAGACTGAAGGCAGCATGTTGTCTAGTCTAGAAGTGAGACACACAACCACTTCCCAAAAGGTGTGCAGGCTCTCGCAAGGACAACGGCAATGTCATTCCCTCAAGGGACACAGACCAGCCAGCTTTGCAGCCACAAGACATGAAGGATAATCATCTCTGCTCCCGAAAGGCAGAGACAGGCTGTGGCTGGAATTTTTTAAAACAGCTGCTGGGGATGGTTTGGACACCACTGAGCCGGCTCAGGGTATCACCACACTGAAACCCAAAGCCTGCGTTGGGCAACCACGGCCTTTTGCAGCAAGCCCAGCCCCGGGCAGACCTGCAGGCTTGCTGGGCGATGTACCCACCTTGGGCTCCCAGTGGGCAGGATGGCCGTGGAGCTCTTGAGCTCCTCGTAGAGGTCTGCTCCATTGGCAGGGAAGGCAGAGAACTGGGCCAGGAGCACACGTCTCACTGCAACGAGCGCCTGGTGGGCAGAGACACATCTGGAAACGGGACTGAGGAAGTCCAGGGCCAACAACTGCCAACTGCACAAGGTCCCCCCAGACAAGCCCATCCAAGCTGTGAGCTGAACAGCTTCTCAGCTCCCTGATTAACGTACCGGGACTTTGAAGTCACCCTTTACCTTGTAAGACAGGGAACACTTCTGGGCAACATCCTCCAGGTCTGATGACACAAAGTCCACCACTGCAAATAACACGAGGGACAAGAAGTTGGAAGCCAAACCTCAACAGACCATGAACACCAAAGAAACGACCAGCTTAGACAAAATCTGCCTACGGGCACCAACAGACAAAATGTCTGTCCCCTCTGCAAACACTTCCAGCGGATGAGCAGGATGCCCCACAAAATGGAGTACTGGAGTTTTTCCTCCGAGATGGCCCCACTGCAAAACAAATTGTTTCTTGCAAAACAGATCAGGGAGAGAAGCTGGCAAAAATTCTCCCTGTTTTGCTCAAGAGCTGCCCAGGGCCATTGGATAGCTGGGGCCAGCCAAGAGAGTGCCCTTCTGCCAGCGTACCAAAGTCTCAAGGGGCTAGTGACTGGACTAAAGTGCCAGCCCTGGGCATGCCAGGAAGGGCTAAAGCCATAGAAATTAGAAGAACTAGTGGCCCTCTCTCTTTTCCCAGGAACCACTCCAAGATTCATTTTTTCAGATAGATGTGTATGTTATTGGTTGAAAAAAATAATGGTAAAAAGCAGTTATTATATGGAAAACAAGGATTACAACATCCATGGCTCCAGCATGCACAGGATCTCACAGATCCCTTTTAAAAAGAATAAAATGGTGTTTTTCTCAGCTCTAGTCCAGTTTCTCACAGCAAGTAAAGAATCCATCTGAAGTCTTTTCCTTTCCCCCTAAGAGCAGGCCTTGGCCAGGGTGCAGTGTGCCAGGAGCTTGGGCATTTTTCAGAGGGAAGAATACACAAACCCTCCCGAAATACCTTCCAAAAGCCATAATTGATCATCCCTCAAAGAGCCTCTGCAGAGACCCCTCCCATGTCCTAACACTCTCCTGCTCCTATGGAGAAGTCCTGACTCATCAGATCTACCCAGGGGGACCCAGAAGACATCCAGCAAGGAGGACACAGGAGGGATATTGCACCAACATCACCCTTCCAGGGTGCGGGATGATGCGGGCACAGAGACCGGAGCTGCAGCCCACCAGGCTCCTACAGTCAATGCCCAGCGTGCTCATGGCAGACAACATGCGCTCACCCTCCTTTTCTCTATGGGGCTCTAAGAAAACTCCCCGCTGCAGCTTCAAGGCTGCAAGCCAAAGCCACAGAGGCAGGAGATGTTTTCCAGGGGCTGCCCCACAGCCCAGACCACCCAACCTGGCAGATGGGTCCTGCACGGGAGAAGAGTGCGGTGCCACCCCAAAATGTGCAGGGAATGACATTCCCCAACCCCAGACCCCGCTGCCACCCTGTTACCCGTCCTGATGCCATTCGCCCTGAGAAGCTGGATCATCTCTTCGGTGAGACCAGGGCAGAGCCCAGCCCGCAGGACCACCATGTCCCTGGCCGCCCCCAGGACGGAGCAGAGAGGAGACCTGCAGAGGAGATGGGAGAGTGGATTTGGCACTGCCCTGACATGGATCGTACCCCACATGTGCAACAAAGCCACAGCCTGCCCCCGGAGC